TGGATGGGGAAGGGTGTCCCACAGTGTGGAAGGAGCTTCCTCCCGGGGCTGAGGTTGCTCCCACAGAACTGTAGCCCTCATCTCCACTGCATGCAGGAGCTTTCGATACTCATGAGAGAGCAGAAAACACCGCTGGACTGGCACTGAGTCCCAAACCACCTGAAAAGGATTTCAATTTCTCCTCCCCTTGGGAGGACAGGCAGAAGGCAGCCAAGTACAGAAAATCCTAACTACTTAACTCAGGGTTAGAGCCACCAGAAATATCCCACTCAACCCATAATCTGTGTTAATTGATCATAATTAATCAAGAGGACCTGCCCATTCTCATTAGCATCATTTCCATCATGAGCTAAAAATACAAAAGCCCATAAGAGGCAGCCCAGTTTCTCAGTGAGGGAAGCAGTAGAGGGTCTGTCACTTTAAGGCTTTCAGAGATCCTGAAGTTCCCCCAAGTGGTTTTAGCAATCCCATCTGCAGCAAAGAGATTTGGCTCTGAGACGCTTCAGCCAGCTACTTAGCCAGCCTACGCTCTATCACAGCACACTGAAAATCAGATCTGGGCCTGGAATTCTCCATCAAGAGAAGTGAGAGCTTCCATGTCGCTCAGAGCGATTTGTAGTTTTTCAGGTCATTCTGAACACTGACCCGGGGGCATCAGAATTACTCATCTCCTTCGAATAGCCATAAGAATCAATGGTTTGGTTGTGTGAATATCAGACAAGAGAGGTCATAGCCCTTTTTCCTGGTTTTCTGCAGATGTAAAAAGTTATACATAAAAGTTTGACACTCCCTGGACAGAAGTAATGTCACTCACTTCAGCCCCTATCAGCTAGCCTGTCAGGAAATGGATTCGTCGCTACCCACCATGACCCATCTCCTCTTCTCCAAGAACCCCATGGATAAGAGCCCCGTAAGATCTGTCAAACAGCCTTTCTCAGAAAGGAGAGAGACAGGATACAAAGCTCTTGCTATTGATACAGCAACAACGTCCCTCCCCTCCAGCTTCCAGGGAAAGATGATGCTTCAGTCTCCGGTGCTGCAGCTCAGTGAGGTAAAGAGGCTGCCAGACAGAGCCTACTCAGTCCCTGATCGAGCCAGCAGGGGCTCGAGGAGGAGGGCTACTCTAAGCCACCACAGTCAACCTGTGCAACCTCAGGCACCAGTGCTCCTTCTCTGGGCCCCAGGACCTCGTCTCGCCTATTCAATCCTATCAGATTCCTGCCGTCCCCTCTGGGGTCCTGCTCAGGAGTGATTGCACCTACTCTCAGCCAAACTCCATGTTTCATGCTCGTCCCAATCCCTGGGATTTCCTCCAAGGCCAGGCTGCTGCTAGCTTTTTAACTTCCTAAAGAAAGGATCCATCCCGACCTCTGCTGCTTCGGTAATTTGGGCGCCACCCAGAAGGGTCTGCATTTTTAGGACAAAAAAAGGACAGAATGATAAGGAGGATCCACACTTCAGGAACAAAAGGCCTATTTGCCAGCCTGGCAGTGTAGTCAGGACAACACCTTTCATTCCTGGTCAGATCCACCTCCGCCCCTGGGGCCATGTTGAATTGCTGTGGCTGCCCGTCTGTGGCGAGCACTGTAAACTTTCCAAGGTGGAGTGAGGCAAGCAAGGCCCTAACATCCGTGGAGACCTATCTGGTGTCTCCATCAAACCAGCCCACAGCTGATGACCTTATAGAAAGCTATAACTCTGAGTGCAGATAGAGCCTAAAGTCACCAGTTAACAAACATCTTCTTTGCTGCTCATAACCCCTAGCAGTGCACCTGCCCAATCTCTCTGTGTGAAAAGCCTCAGGATCAAAAAGGATATTGAGTCATAATCTAATAACGTAAAGAATTCGGAAATGACTAAAATCTCCTGTGAGAAGGAAATCTCCTTTCCTTCTAACCTGGACCATGTGACCAAAACAGGCTAGCTGAGGGTGGACGACAATCTGGGGCTAAGTGTGACTAGCAGAACTGTCACATTCCGGCCAGGAAGGACCGCTGCTTCTCTCCCACAGGTCTCCATTTACACCATCGTTTACTGACTAGCCAGAACTGGACAGCGTTTAAAAAAACTAATGGCAATAATAAACATTCTTCCTGTGCAATAAACTCTGTAGCTAGTGACTCCTCACAATAAGCCTCATCCTTATGTGACAGATAAGTAATGGAGGTTCAGGGACTGGTCAAAGGTCACATAGCCAGGAGGTGAAAGATTGAGATTCAAACCCAGGTCCAACTGGGCCTAAGCCTGGGGCTGGCCCTCTCCACCCACCCTTGCCACTCATTCCCCAGGGGAACCAGACTGTGCAAACCATGCCTGGTCAGAACATTATGGGACAAGATGAATCACCTTAGCTCTAAAATACCCAGCCAGGTCATTTTTCTGTCACCCTGATTTATGGAAATGGGAGAGGCATTGTTAAAGCTTAAAGGTCCCTGCCTCAGAAACCAGAGCCTGCTGCTAACAGCCAGCTGAGGGAGCCGTGCCTGGCTTTCAGGAAAAACAGTCCGTTTTCAAGCAAGCATCCTACGTACCCCCTTCTCCCTACCCCTCCTTAAATCCCTAACGTGAGTCTGGTTCCCCATTAACCTCTATCCCCCAAATTTTATTCCCAGGACTGTCCAAACTCAGGGAAGAAACCGAAGGCTGGAGTTAGCATAAAAACACGTGCTTCTCATTAGATCGTCTGCAGCAGAAGTTGAAACCTGCCCAATTTCGGCATTTGGCATAGAAGCACAACACATTGCCTGAAAAACACAATTAATGCTACACTCCCATTATATCCCTGACGGCTCAACCTCTCTGGCACCCTACTGATTCATCAGACCCAAAACAAATGTCACAGCCTGGCACGCAAGGTCTTCTATCAGCCTGGTCTCCAGGTCTCTCTATTCGAGCCCGGCTGCCCCTCCCAACTCCTCCCCAGCTTGGTGCCTTGGTTCACGCCTGGAACACCCTCTCACCAATATGCTCCTCCTCCACCTCCATCATTTCTTTTCACACTCAAAGGAAAAGATTCCAAGAAGCTATTCCTGACCGGCCCCTTTGCCTACATTTCTTTTCATTGGCACGTATTCAGTAGACCCACATTTATTGAGCAACCCCATGAGTTGTCAAGCCCTTCTTTGACCAACATTTGGACAACATTTACTGAGCCCTTTCTATGTGCTTGGCACTGTGCTAAGTGCTTTGTATGTCGCCCTATTGCTCTGTTCCCCTTTATGGAAAACCTTCTCGAAAATGTTTATACTCATGTCTCGATTCCTGTCCTCTCCTGCTCTTTTGAGCCAACTTGGAACAGACTCTTGCCCCCTTTTCTCCACTTTAAAACACACAGTTTTTTATTCCCACTGCCATAGTTACGGCCTACATGATCTTGATCTCCAAGCATTCTTGTATACCTGTCTTGCCTCTAGCAGTTCTGTCTGTATGAAATGCCTTTCCCCTACCCATGCCATTTGCCCCAGCTCAGAGCCCCTCTACGAAGGCTCTCAGGTCCTAAAATGGAATGTCTTTCCCATTTCTCTATATTCCATTGGAATGCTACTCTCAGGCTTTTCAGGGTGTGCCCTTTACGAAAGGTGTTATTGTTCATTAGCAGCTCCTAGGTTGCAGGTGTCGGGCTGAGTTCACCTCTGTGACTCCCACAGATCCTGTCAGTGTGGTACTGCACTCAGGGGGCAGCTGGGTCCAAGTCATCCACCAGAAGGCCAGGGAAGCAGTGAAGGAAACGCCTTTGGTGATGTGGATGTGACGGGACGCTTGGAAAAGACAACCATGCCATCCGGAGCTTGTAACAAGGGCGGGAACAGCGGGACAGTCAGTCCGGGACTGGTTCCGCCCAGGATGAGGGCGCTCGTTTCATGAGAGAGAACTGCCACCGCTGAGGCCTGCCTGTGGCAACCCTAAACTTCCTTACTCAGACATCAGTATTGACCTGTCGCTCCCTTTATTTTGTCCCCGAACCTCAGATTCCAGTAGAAGTTCCTAGAGATCTGCTTCTCACCAGCTTAGGGACTGGAATAAAAGGAAGAAAGAGAAACAGGCATGACGGACACCAACGACCATTATTCAAGCACATACAACAATCTACACACTTGCCTATTCCAATATAAACCATTGAATCTGCAATTATTCTGAGGAGTCGATAGAACTAGCCCCATGAGGAAACTGAGCTCAAATTAAGAGATTTCCCCATGAAAGCACAGATAGAAGACACAGGATAGGTGCAACTTGCTATTTCCAGAACATTCCCCGGATTTCCCTGCCAGGGCTGGCTCATACTGTGTACTCCACCTGAAAGATCGCTGCTCGCCTCTACCTGTCTAATCTGACTATTTTTAAAAAGGCAGCTCCCACCTAACTTCCTGCATACAGCAGTCTTGGTTTTCTCCAAGGCGGAAGCAATCGCTTCTTCCTCGATCTGAAGGAACTTTGTACCTCTTTTACGACATGTCTCAGTCTCCCTCCTAATTCGGCTGTTTGTGTACATCTTATTTCCTCTACCAGAACAGAAAGTCCTGGAGGGCACTGATGTGCCCTAATCACCTTGGTATTACTCAAAGCATATAATAAAAGCATGAGAGCAGGTTTCTTGCTCACAGTATTCAATCCGCTTGTGGAATGCGGAACACAGAGGCATTGCAAAAGATGACATCTCAGGTATTCTGGTACGAGAGCCCCTGTTTGCAGCTCAAACGAACAAGATCTAAGGGTTACTGTCATCAAAAGCAAACGCCGGCCTGTCACCAGAGGGCATCTACCCCATCCTGGCTTCGGCTTCAAAGTTCCCCCTAAGTCCCAGCCACAGGCCTCTTGATCTTTCCTTGTTTGCTCATTAAAGTTAATTTGAAACATGAAAAGGTCCAGGACTGAATATTCCAGTAAGGCCAGGCCTTCTTAATTCAGCAACTGCAGACAAAACTTAAAAATAGGGCAGGGGTTGCCAGGACAAGGCCAGTACACGCAGCACAGGCCCTGACCCTCTGATCATGGACTGATACCTGCAGTCAGCTTTGAGGATGCCAAGAATATCAAGAAGTAGATTGTGCCTCTTCTTGGAGATATCATGAGTCTTCAGGGAGCTCCACCGTGCTCCCCCTGGGGGAATTCAGGAAACAACAGTTTGTGTGAAAATAGTCTTGTCCGGGGTCCTGGGTGTGGGCTAAGATAATCACTAATAATATATATCAGCCACCATTTTCTGAATTCTCACTGTGTGCCGAGGACTGCACTGAGTGATTTCACATGGGTTATCTCTTCTAATCCTCACAGTCACCCTCTGAGGTGAAATTATTATTGACCGTATATTACCTATGAGGAAAATGGGGCTTAGAGAAGTTAACTTACCAGACCGAGATCTTATAACTATTGAATGGGAGAGAAGGCATGAAGCTGATTCCAACCACGGTCGAGTATTCCTAGAGACTGGAATACTTAGCCACCTCACCCTGTGGTTTCTTAGGATATCTCAAAATGTTCTAATCTTTCTCAGTAGGCAAAAAACACACTGACCACTAACTGCTGCATTAGATGGCGCTGCTCTGAGCGAGGCATCAGTGAGGTAAGGCCTTAATTTTTATTCAATTCCATATATAAAAATTCATTTATTTGAGGAACAAAAGAGCATAGGTTATCACATAAACCTTTGGTGCTATGAGAACCCAAGGCCAAGCGTGCCTATGTGACACGTCAAGGTTTCAAGATTCAGC